ATGGTCTCACAATGAAATGGATAAAATCATTTTAAAAAGTTCAATTCGTTATCAATGGTTTTTAGACTTGATAGCAAATGAAGACACCTTTATTCCAGAAAACCTACTAAAAACTCAGTGAGAACAGCAAGAGTCTATAGCATCTGAACATGAACAACCTGCTTCCTCCTCCATCCCAACTCAGAGTGATGGAAACTCTGCTCCGGAGGGGTACAGCCAAAAGCACAGGGGTCCATCTTCCACCCAATTCCTGCTCATGGAACAGAGGCTCTGCCTTGGGTTGGCACACTGAGAATACTGGGATCTGATTCCCTTCAACCCAATTCATTCATAAAGCAGAGGGTTCATGCCTACACAAGCAAGCCAAGGAAACCAGTGCCTACAGAGTAGATATTAAAGAAAGAGAGAATAGAAAAACATAGAGGAAATGAATAAACACAAAAGTTGGTTCTTTGAAATGCACAACAAAGTTGAAAATCCTTTAGCCAGATCAATCAAGAAAGAGACAGAAGGCTCAAATGTAAGAAGGGACATTACTACTCACCTTATAGAAATAAAAAGAATTATAAAGGAATATTATGAATAATATGCCAATAAATTAGGGAACTTAGATAAAATGGTCAAATTCCTTAAAAGACAAAAACTAAACGAGTCTAGAAGAAATAGAAAATTTGAATAGACCTAAACAAGTAGGGAAACTGAACTTGTAATTTAAAAAACTATCCAGAGCTTATACCCAGATGGTTTCACTGATGAATTCCTCCTCCATTTTTAAAAAATATTTTATTTATTTATTTTTAAAGAGAGGGAAAGGGAGAGAGAAAGAAAGGAAGAGAAACATCAATGCGTGGTTGCCTCTCACATGGTCCCCAGTGGGAACCTGGCCAGCAACCTAGGCATGTGCCCTGATGGGGAATCGAACTGGCGATGCTTTGGTTCACAAGCCAGCACTCAATCCACTGAGCCACACCAGCCAGGGCAGAAGCTGTTCTTTGTCTCATGTTCTCATACACCAGATGAAGTCCGTATGGTGATCAAATATTCCCAATTATGGGGGATTCATATCAGAATTTGATACCCCTGCACATACACAGCCTTCGGGGAAAGGTCAGAAAGATCTGACTATAAGTTACAATGAACATCACCCTGGGACTTTTGGATCTATAAACCCTATTTGGAATAAAATATACAGCTTCCTGTCTAAAACACTTCTCAGAGTTGAATTTGCATATGATTCACCTGGGGATCCTGTGAAGATGAAAATTCTTATTCAATGGCCTTGTGTGGAACCTGAGACTTTACATCTCTAAAAGGCTTCCAGGTTCTTGATGGTCCTCTGGCCACACTCTGAGTAACAGATCACTCCATTTAGATCCTCGACACAGGCTGTATATTAAATTCCACTGCTCTGCTTCCTGATCTGCTTTCCTTGTGCTTACTTGGCAGTGAAGATGGACTCTTTACATAATGTTTGGCAAAAAAGGATCTCACCTTCAAAAACATCCTGATGCTGTTCGCAGTCAAGCAAAAATGACTTCAAGATTTTGGGATGGTTTTCATTCTCTGTGGCACTTTCCTTCTTCATGTAGTCCAACTGTAATTAACAGGTGGATTGCACCGGAGTAACCAAGGCTAGAGATAGGCAGAAACATGCTTGAGTACTCCCAGTGTTCATTTATCTTTGTGATTTGAGTTTTGTCAGAAATACTAATCTATCTCAATCCCGGATGCCTTTCAGCCTTGGAATTTGGTCCAAGGGCACTCCTGGGTGCCAGGATCTAAGAACTGTTCCTGAACTAACTGTTCTTTCCATGCTCTGCATGTCTGTATAGATGACATTTTCCCAGAGAGGCCCTGGCAGTCTCTGCACAATGTTTGAAAGCTTGTTTGGTAATCAGGCCACATCCCAAATGTTAGTCAACGTGGTATGAATTTACTATAGAAAATTCATTTCTGAAGGGAGAACACACTATCACTCCCAGAGACCAGATCTGGTATTGGGAGTAAAAAGCAGTTCTGGTTCCATGGTCTGGTGTGGAGAAGGGCACACCATGAGGCATCTTTGCCCTTCCTGCACCCTAGAATAAGACTGGAGACAGAGGCCAGCTGACAGCCCACAGGCACCTGTTCTAAACAACAAGTGTGTTTGTTTGACTCTTTCCTTATAACCGGACAGACTGGTGAGGTGAGGTGTCAGCTTTCTTTATAAAACACTTTTTTGTTTTCTCAATGACACTTATTATGAACAGTCCTCAAACATGACTGAAGGACAAATACCACTGTTGATATATGTGCAAATATCAAACCTATCCTGGGAGTTTGTTTCAAGGGCAGACTGACTTCTGGTGCTGAGCCCGCCCATTAAGTAGAGGTTGCCAGGATTGGAAGAAGTTAGGGTAATTGTTGTGTCAGGGTAGATGGTTTTACAGAACATGTTCTTAAAGATTATTCCAATATAATAGGACATTCATCATTCTCCTTCACTTGATTACTCAACCAAAATGCTGAGCTCCTCCTACATATGTACAGTTTCATACTAGCCTTGCATGGGGGGACAGAGCAGTGGTGAGAGCAGACTTTAAAAAAAGACTGAAATAGATATGGCATTAGTTCTTAACGATTCCATACTCCGGCTAAGAAACTAAGAAATAAAGCTAATAAACATGGCAGTATGGTAACTGGTCCAGAGTCATAGTTCCCAAAGAGGATGTTTCTGATTCCAACAAGGAGGAACTTCACAGAGGTGAAATTTAAGCTAGACTTTGAAGTACAGGCGGTATTGTAATGCAGGGGAAATGAACAAAAACAGTTAAAGAAAGCTCAAGTTAACTGAAAAGTGAAAGTAGACTCGTTAGGCTGGAACGGGTCTATGTAGTGAAGCTGCGGGAATAAGGCTGAAAATGTAGGTTGTTGCCATGTTGTGAAGTATCCTGAAAATCAGAGCTAAAGGGTTATTTCAATCCCATGGCAGTGGGAACCCACTGAAGTTCCCTAAATTTTCAGATTTTACCCTAATGGAATACTCATGGGGTTTCCTGAGATCAGTATATAATCTCCTAAAGTAAAAGGAGACATTCCTACAGAATCCTAATTCCGTGGCACTCCAAATACTAAGGAGCCAGTTTGGTCACCACAAAACCAGTTTTCTTGCTCTGCTACAGGTTCATTGGTAATGGGAAAGATAACTTCTCCAGGCCATCATTCCTTCAATTATAAAATAAAGGGGTTAATCAAAATCACTTCTAAAGTTCCTTCTAGCTCTGAAATCAATTATTCTGTCTCCTGTTTGACAGACTTTCTCCGTAACAATGAGGAAAGAAAAAACTGTTATAATCCAATTGATGACATCGAAATCACAATTTTAATTATTTAAATTTGCAGATTTGTTCTAAATCTATCTGCAATGCAAAGGAGAAACTTGAACACAGGAAAAGTCATACGTGATTTATTCACTGAACCTTTGTCATGCAAAGTATCTAAGGAAGGCATGAAGGCACTTTTTGACAACTAAATTATCAAATAAAAATGATTTTTCAACATCACAGCTGATAATTTTAAAGCAAAGTTCTTCTTAAAAAGTGTACCCTTGAATGTTATAGTGCATAACACTAGTGATTTGATCTTTGCATTTTTGTGCTGTACAGGAAATGCCAACAGTAAATTTTCAAGACACTGCATCCACATAGGAACAAGGTTTTTTTTTAAACTTTCTTCAAAGAGCTCCTGAAAACAGAAGTGCTCTGTATGGATGTTTTGCAAACACTCCTAAGTTTCTACAGGGTACACTGAGTCAGAAAACCCACTTCCAGTTTCTGCTCTACCCCAACTAGCTCTTAAGGAGGGCAAAGATGTCCTTTATCTGGTTTTCTCCTTTCTACTTATCACAATTCTGGTCATTGTCTTTTCCCTTACTACTGGACTGAAATACTTGAGTGCTGGGACTCTAATCACAGTTCTGTCTCTATATCCAGCACCTAAATTACTCACTAGTCATTAAATTGTTTTGTCTGTCAAGTGAGGCAGTTGGGACAAAATTTCCCATGTCCTTTCCATTCTTGATTCTAATATATAAGACTTTGAATTATCAAAATGCACAGTTGAATTTTTTCCCTTCAGCTTAATTTATAGCCTTTTATTGCATACTAATACTTTTTCTGAATTAGGACATTCTTGTCTGAAAACAACTTGAGGATAAAGCAGTGTAAGTGGCTAGACTGGGACTAGGTTTAGACAAGGATTCTCTGAGGAGCAATGTAGATTGTGTTGTTGAACGCAACCCCAACCTTTTGAAGTTGTGGTTTGTGCCCAGAAGTGAAAAAAAAAAATAGACCCAAATCAAACTTCAGCACAATTTCCAAGTATCAGATTTGATGTCTTAATTTTACAGATGCTAAAGCACAATAAAATTTTGTTGAACCTCCTGAGAACATAATCCAGGGCCACGTGGTAGTCCTCTGTATCCACAAAACTCCAGTAGCCTCGGGGAGAAGAGCCATGGCTCTGCAGTTGAGTGTAATATTTCTTCAGTAAGTCAAAGCCCATTACAATGCTTCCAGTTACAATGAAAATCTTTTACTTGTTCTGAAGACCACTCAATTATCTTGATCAAGATTATATACAACCCAACAGATACGATGAAATCCTTGACAGCTCTTTGAAATGTAGCTAAATTACAAACTAATTGGATAAGGTAGACAACTGCAATAAAGCATTTATTCTCATATTGTGCTTGATATAGATGACATATAAAATTCAATTGGGGAAGGGAGATCAAAATAACTATGCTTCTCCCTTGAACCGGACTCAGAAACAAATGAGATTAGGGTAAATCCTAGGTGGGGAAGTATTTAATTCATTGTGCTTTTACATACTTTTCTCACTACCCATTCCCATTTATAAACCTTAAATCTGTGCATCTGGGTCCTATTTATTTTATCCCAAGTACAATATAATACTATTAACTGTAACAAGTATACTCAGATAAGAAGTCTGTAAAGTCATTTTCTTTTAGAAGGCATCAAATAATCAGGGAACTTTATTTTTAAGGAATAAATCAAGTAAGACATAGTTTTCATTGATCCAAACATGCATAATCCATCCTTAATATAAAATGCACTCAATTGAAAAATTACACGTGAAATACAAAGGGAATGCAACTTTACATATGTAAAATGATTGCTAGCTACAGCAATTTAACAATCAAGTTAATAAAGACATTGTACATTTTTAAAAAAACCAACACCTTAAAGTCAATTATTTATAGTACACCAAGGGAAATTCTGATATGGAATGGTTTGACTCAAAGCAAAGAATAAGGCACCTGCTATGAATTTAGAACAATAACTTTCATTTTTAAAGTTACGATAAAATAGAATTAGTTAACCAAGACACTTGTTTCAAAGAGGGAAACAAGTATAGGGGTTGATTTCCTGCGTGAGAAAGGCAAGTAACAATGAAGATAAAAACCTGCTGGCCCCAGGTCAGCTGATTCCTTTCCTGTTCTAGGGTAGGCCAATTCCTGACAGTCCTTAACCACCCCCCTCTCTCTCCTCCCCATACTTCGGGCCATCAGAAGCTCTCTGAGGTTCACACTGTGTATGGACTATGTAGCAGATTTCCCTTCTGTTCCTCTTAAAACAGCTTATTTTAAAAGAAATATCCTGAGGCAATTAAAGCAAACAAGCAGCTTTCTTTCCAATTCATTAATACATAGACACCTCTCAGGCTTTTTTAATTAAGTTATGGCTAAGTATTTAAATAGCCAATACTTGCAGTTTCCATCAGAACCAGAACACCCCAAATCTGCCTTTCTCACTCACCCTTACCAACAGTAAAGAATGTGATCACAACCCATAAAACCATACAACAAAGGGAAGACCAAAGATCCTTATCAGTAAATCCACTTAATTCCAGATAATACTTTAGTTGGATGTACCTAGAACCCTAATGGAATTTTAATCATAAACCTAGAAAAACATTTCCAAACTAAGTGTAACTCTTTAGTTGATGTGCCTTTTTGATGTTAAAAGTGCTTTCAACATGCTAAGATGTCTTACGGCACACTGGACTCAACAGTACATCCTGTGGAGGCATCGATTTTTAGTAGTATTTTCCCCTAAAATGTTATCTAGCATAGTAGACCCCTTTGATATATTAAAGTAATTCTGATGAAATCAATGTGACATAAACAAACCTTCCCTGACTTTACTCCACCATGATATCTTTTAGTGAAACTGAAATGACTGATTAAGTTAAAAAATGCTTAACCAAGTTTTCTTATGGCAGCTTAGATTAGTATATTCACTCATGCAAAATCCAAGGTAGTGTGATAGAAATATTGTTAAAATAAACATGGCTATAAGCATCTCCCTTTACATTAGACATTTAGAAGCTTTTAAAATTTTCTAGGTGCTGAAGATTGTGGGATTTTTAGACTAACTGTATAGCTGTTCCATTTATAAGCACCTTATTACAGGACAGTTACATGACCCTATTGGGAGTGTGCTTTCAATTCAAAGTATTGTAATAAAGTGCCTAACTATAGAAAACCATAAGATTCCGAATTTTAAATTAAGCTAATTTCATTTACATGTTAGCATTAAAAATAAAAACTAGACCCTGTCTACACAGACTTAATCTAATTACTGATGCTATATACCATTTTAATAACCATATTAAAAAACTTACTCTTAAATGACTGAATAAGTAGGGTCCACTACTATAGCTTAACAATCAAATTTTATTGCTTTATTCATGTGGTGCTTTTGCAAGGCACTGTGGTATGGACCAGAAAACTTGGAATGACTCATGAAGAAACCTTGGAATGACACATGAATGATGATATGAAAAGTCATTCTGAGGCAGGATGATTTACTGAATTGTTTTTAACCGGGGCATCAAACACTGGGAATGAGTTCAAGTTAAAATTCACAGGAGAATGGAAACATCTTAAGGTCAGTGACTTCACATGCCCATCCTGATACTTTGAATAATCTGGAAAATTGCTGTAAAGAGAAAGAGCAAATATTAAAACATGCTTTGAATAAATAAGTCTGGCAAGTGGCAGATATTTATTAAGACATTTTGAGCCCGAGTACCCTTAAACAATTATTTGCAAAGGCTATGTAACTTCACTGTAGTAAGAAATTGAAGACAGGCCTACCTTAATAAAATAATTAAATGCCCATAAGCTATTTTTAAAAATCTCAGCTTCTGAGTTTTATATCTAAATGTCCAAGAGAATTTGAAAATAAGAAATCACTTCAGAAAGAACTTAAAGTACCAAAACAAACAGGTTTTTCAAGCATGGAATTACTTTGGTTTATTGCTAAATATTGTGTCCTCTAAAGGCCTGGCCTATAATACATGTATGTTTCCTTATTCTCACAAAGCTGAAATTCAATAATCTTCAGGTTATATAAATTGCTTGGCTCTTGGCCATTTATCAGGAAAACTTCCAGTTGGTAAATTTAGGAAAAAGGCAAAGTGAAAAAAAGAAACCTCAAATAACTTTATAATGCCAGATGTGAAAACAGAAACATGTACCTTAGTATCAACAGCTTTTAAATTACAAGAGGAAAAACATTCTGTAATCTATTTGCAGAGGCAAGAATCTATTACTCTAACAGCAGGCTGCCCTGATAATGAATTTTTCCTACCATATGTCAAACGTTTCTTTTATTAATCTAAAACCATTTGTCACATATTAAATTGCCACGTTTCTCTACAGTGAATCAATTCTTTGCACTAGCTTTATCCTGTAAAACATACCCAGACTTGACATAAAGATGTTAGATTCTGGGACATGTTAAACTAAGCTCGAACATCCATATGTACATAACGTTCAAAAGTTTCGGTTTTGCAAAGGTACTGATAATAGGATTGCAAAACCTTTTATCTCCTTCTGGGACACGTTTTCGTTTATTTTGGTCTAAACTTCCAACTTGATCATTGCTAAGGACCTGACCTCCTTTTCTGATATCCTGTGAGCACAAATCAAGCTGAAAGAAGTTTCTGGAGCACCACCCTCTGTGCATATGTGGGACAAGTAAATTAGTTCAAATGAAATAGAATGATGTGGAGCTCGCGGCAGGTGGGTTGAGAACTACGCGGTTAAGATTCACCACTGATAGGTCACCACGTCATCCCAAACCCGTCCTCTAACATCCAGCCCAATGGTAGCCCCCCAAACACTTACCAGAACCACAAACAACAAAAATGAAGAGAGCCAATAACCAAGGTCCTACAGATGCCTTCTCTTCAGGAGCATTTCTCTGCAAAAAGGAAAACCCACCGTTTCAAATGCCATTCCGACCCAGGGCTCCCACAGCTTGCACTCCACGCCAGGTGTCCCCTCCGTTCCCAAGCCGCCCATCTCCAGCACCCACCTCCCCCAATTTAAGAGTCCAGATCGCGGCCTCGGACCCCCACAGTCGGCCGGGTCTGGGGAAAACTCGATGCGGCCCTATGCTAGGGCCTCAGCTCCGGCTGCAGATCCGAGGCGCGCCGCTCTTCCCTTACCGAGGTCTTGGCGACGTTGCCGCGCTGGGTGATGTTCTTGCTGTGCTTCTCGTTAGCCATACGGATCCGCTGCTTGGCGACCATCTTCGCGGCGCCACCACCTGCCCAAACCACCCCTCAGATTCGCTCGCCTCCCCTCGGGCCGCTGCGACACTCCGCTCCCGGTGCCCGAGCCGCCGCCGGAACGAAGAGGTTCTCAGGCCAGGCACTAGCTCCGTACACAGGGCCTGAGCGCGGGCGCTGAGCGCTAGCGGGGCGTGGGCCGCCGACTGAGGAACTCCGGGCTGACCAGCTCAGCGTGGAGGGCGCGCGGGAGGACAGCAGGCCGACGGGATAGGCTCGCCCTGCCGCCGCCGGGAGCGTGGACTGAAAGAGGAAGGAAAAGCAACAAGAGGATCGCTCAGTTCGTCTGCTCGAACTACTTCAGGTTCGGCTGCCAACGTCAGCACTGGGCGAACTCCGCCCCACGGAAGTGCGGGCTCCGCCTGCTGAAGAACGGGATGAGAGAAGACCACAGCAGGTTTAGGGGCCCTAGCCCAACCCTAACCCAACCCTCCCAAATTCTGTCGTGTGGCCCAGAGCTGCGCTTGCGCGTTGGGAATCCTTTTCTGTTGCTGGCTCCAAACGGAAGTGAATTGGCCCCGAAGTTGGTGACCCCGGAAATACCGAGTTGCCGTCTCCACGCCTGAGTAGACGTGTAGGGGCCGGGTTGGCCCTCTTGAACTCTGACCCGAGCTCCTGGGTTTCTTTTTCCGGGACGAAATGGCGCCGTCCACGCCGCTACTAACAGGTGAGTTCCGAACGAGCCAGGGACTGCCTTTTTAAAACAGTTTCTTTTTGTCTCAGTCCTTGCGGAGTACCCGAGAAGCCATGGAGTCTGATTGGTCTTTTCTTGTGGCTTGCGGAAAAACCTGAGGGCCTTTTGGGTTTTTTAGTGTAGTATGGCATTCTGAAGTGAGGTCCCTTGCCTCTGGGCTAGTGCATTCCCCTCCCTTGTGCTCATTCAGCCCTCTTCGCTGCCGCTTCAAGTTCTACAGGAATAGAGGAAGGGAGATATCATAAAGTGCTAGGTCAGTTTGTTACCATGGGTTTCCACGAACCTTTATCTGTTGGCAATGTGAAATCACTTAATTCTGTAAGAGGGAAAATATAAACATGTGACTCATAAAAGTGACCAGTCATTAAAAACACGTGAATTTATGTAATACCAAGTTTTGTACTCCATGCTTTAATGAAATTTGTAGGAGTGACTTGAAAGAATGGAGCTGTGGCAGTGCATGTTTCAAGGGATGAAACTGTGGTCTGGGATGGTAGGTAGCATTGAGCATTATAGAGATAATCCTAAAAATGTTTGATGTTGAAATGGTCATGTGTATTTTAGAGTTAGAGTATTAGAGGATTCCTGAGATTTGAAACTAAGGCAGTGTTTATAATGCTGGGGAAGATAATAAACTTAGTCTTGGACAAAGTCAGGGAAGACTCTGGACTAGAGTAATAGCTGGGAGTGTCATGTGAATATCAAGTAAGGAGTTGGGAGTTGGAAGGGAAACGAAGGCTTTGAGAAAGACACATTGTTTAATTTGTGGAAAAGTATGATTTCTCCCTGAGACTTGCAAGGAAACTTTTTAGCTTTTGCACTTTTTGCCATTCTACATTTTAATATCTTTGTTATTACTCTTATGCCACTGACATTCAGTCTCTCTACCATAGTTTTTCATGGAACATTTATCAAATATTGACTATTTGTTAGATAATATGCCAGGCAGATACTGTTATGCCAGGCAGGCATAAATATATAATCGAATGAATTTTTTTCCCTAGCTTTATAAAGGTAGCTTGTATGCTGTTCACAATGTGACAATACTAAATGCTTATTTGAAATCTAATTTTAAAAATTAGTACATTTTAAAATCTGATCATTTTCTCCCCTTTCAGAATCTGAGCAGTGGCTCCTCACTGCTTACAAGGTAAATTTCATCCTGTTGAGCATAGCATGTGAATCCTTTACAATCCTTCTGTAACCAAATGCAGGTCCTGCTGCCTGCCACTATGAAAGCCAATATTTGAGAGCTAGGTGCTGATGTAAATGAAAGTACATTATTTTCAGGTGCCAGCGACCTGGAAGATGGGGGACTCGTGTTGCAAAGCCCATCTCCTCCTCTCAGTGGAGGCAGAATTTTTTGTAATGAGGGAGAGGGGAACAGAATAAAGAGATCAAGGAAGGGGGTTGAAAAGTTCTCTTCATGCAGACAAACACAGTCCATTCTGATAAGGCCAGTGATGGTCTGGTGTACAGCATCCTGGTTTAGTCATCCTGCATTCTTGTTATCCTGGTTCCACCATTGAAGGTCAGCAAATCTGGAGCTAGAATGCCTGAACATCAGAATCTGTATATTTTGAAGTTAGTTCCTAGGATTCTTATACAAACAAGTTTTTAATCTACAAGCAACATATTATTCAGAGTTAGCATTTACAGAAACAATGTGAAAGAATGGTGGGTGGGTTAGAATTTCCCAGTGTTACATTCTTCCACTGTTACACGTGAATAGCTCTTGACGTTCATTTCCTTGTCATTCTATCCTATTTTGTGTTACATCTATATTGAACTGCTTATAATTCCCTTGAAAAAACCTATGTCTTCAGTCTAGGACTTTCCTATTTTTCTTTATTTGGCTAGCATCTTCTTATTTTTTAAAAATTCATTTCAGACATAATTGCTTTGTGAAGTCTTTCCTTCCCCTTCCCAGGTAGTCACTCCCCAGGGCTATTTTTGTATCTCATATATACTTGAATTTTTTTTCTCACTTACACATTTGACAATTATCTATCTAGTTAGATGCTTTTGTTCCCTGCTAGACTGTGAACTCCTCGATTGCAGAGGAATAGTCTTACTCCTTCCTGTCAGTTTAGTACCAGCTACTGTGCTTGGTAAACAATAGATAATTTAAATGTTTAATGGAGAAATAAATTAATGAAAAATAACCACTTCGTTTATAGTCAAATTAACCAAGAATGACAGTTTTCTTACAGTGCTTAAAATAAGGGACTTTGTATAAATTTAAAGGTTATCTAGTCAATTTACCTATCATATTCTCATATTCATGGAGGCCCAGAGAGATTAAGTGGTCAGAGTCGCATGGAAAATTGGTTGAGTCATTATATTCGGTCATTCCACTTCATCGTTCTTTTTTTTCCTTTTCCCACTAGAACATACTGATTGTTGACATAAGAAATGTCAAAACCTGTAGAGAATTTTTTTAAGAGTTTGAGCCAAACTGATCTCATATACAGGGGAACAAGATCTCATATGCTCCAGAGAATACCGTATTTTGCCATGTATAATGCACTTTTTTGCCCAAATTTTTGAGGGAAAACTAAGGATGTAAATTGCACATGGGTAGTACTGATTCCGTATCTAAATAAATGTTTTTATTTCTTTTACTTATGCTTATGCATTAAAAGTGTAACTCTAGAAAGCAATAACAATAATCCATATGCCAAATAATACCCCGGAATACAATAATCAGTTTTGTTTCTAAATATAAATAAGTAAAAAATTGAGTTAAAAAATTAAAACAGGATTTTTTTTTCCTGAAAGTTTGGACCAAAAATGTGGGTGCACATTATACATGGGAGCACATTATATGCGGCAAAATATGGGGTAAGTTTTGCAGCTTCTTTTTCACTTGAAAGTAAGGAGGGAGCTTACAAAAGATTATATGAAGGTGGGGATTGGATTATAGGATTGTTAACAAGATTATGAGCTCTTTTAAGGGTGCTATTTCAAAGGTGTGTTAACCTAGATGCACAAAAACAATGGACAGGGCTTGCTTAGGGCAAAGAAACCTTTTACTAAAAAGTGATATGCCTGGGATGTGTCTGCCCACTGTGACCTACCCACTTACAGATTTATGAACTAATCACCCTGTACAGATACTTTCCATAGAATCCCCACCTTTTTTGCCCACATGATTAATCTTTTAAACATTTTTAGAATAGATATTTTAGTTAACAATAGGTTCTTTTACTTAAGAATTTTTAAAACTTAGACTCGTGGGATTTGGAGTTATGAACAATTTGGAGATTATCCAGTAGATTTTATTAGTCACGACTTTTACCTGGAAATGGCAAAAAGCCAAAGAATGTGAAAAGGAGATTTTTTTGAAGAAAACTTTATGTAACCATAAAACTTTGATATTGCCACATCTAGGTATTTGCATGACTCCAAAAATCTTTATCCCTGTGCTCTTGATTTCTTCTCAATTAAATTCATTCTTGGGCTCACATTCTACTTGGGCGGTCCAGGTTTACATTCAACCAAGTTAAGCAGCCCCTAAGGAAAGGACACATTTTTGCTAGTTACAAGGCTGGCTGTCTTTAGCTTGGCTTAGCTCTTGCTCATCTTTGAATCACTTGATTGTTAATCTTATCACCAGGACTAAATTAGATTCTCATCCCTGAATACTTTCCAAAAGAAAATTAGAATCTCCTAAAGTGGAGCCTGGATGCTAGGCATGTAAAACAACAGCCTTAACATGTAACCCACATTGTCTGATCAGCTTGCCTAGATGAGGCCATTGAGATAATTTATTAAAATTTGAGTCGTTTTCCTAAGTTCACACATACTTCAGCGGATGTAAAGTTCAGAAAGAGTATCATTATAATAACCACCATATCCCTGGCATAGGGCCCTTGTTTGTTGAAGCCCAGTAGTTTCCTCGTACTCGTATTAACTCAGGCCTAGAATAATAAATTATACCTGGGTGCCTGGAAAGGACTGTAAGTTTAAAAAATACATTATGTATGTACACTACTGAATATAATTATTGTTTTTAAAAAGTTACTTTGTGTGAAATTGGCACTGGTTGCTTTAGTGAAAAGAACTGTTTGCATCCTGGATTTTTCTTTATAATAGAACATATTGCCAGATCCCCTTTTGATGAAAAAAGGGAAATTATTAAAAACAAAATCATATCAAGTCTCAATACACTATTAAGCTAGCTCCACATTCTATTCACTGTTTCACATTCAGTCACTTTCAATTAAAAGTAATTCCTCATTAGAAAGCCCTCTGTAGAAAAAAATTGTTTCAATTATTGAAGAGTTTTTTTGCAAAAAAATGAAACTCAAGCACCAACTTACACCATACACAAAAATAAATTCAAGGTGGGTAAAAGATTTAAATATAAGTCGTGACACTATTAAAGTTCTAGAGTAGAACATAGGCAGGAAAATCTCATATTACACGCAGCAACATTTTCACTGACATGTCAAATAGACTAAACAAACAAATAGAATAAACAAATGGGATCTCATCAAAATAAAAAGCCTCATGGCTAAAGAAAACAGTATTAAAGTAAAAAGAGAATCAACCATATGGG